ATGTCCTGATAAGATCGCTCCCTGGCCAGTTCAGAACAAACCACTTAAAATATATGAGCCTTAGTTTTAAGTTCTGAGTGAGCAAAAGCTTGGATTTTCTTTTGAGGTGAAATAGATTGTATCTTAATGACTCTATAATAAGGCTCACTTTCTTGCTGGATTTGTTAAAACTGCTTTTGCAGTGAAATCTGAAAATATTTAAGAGTTGTGCTACGTGTCATGAAAATTTTCTCCCTGAAATAAGGTTTAACATTTACATTAGTTAAAGAGATTTTTTGGTGAGCCTGCCAAAAGTCTTAACAAGATATTCATTTATGAGAAGGTGTAAGAATGGAGGGATAAATCATACAAAAATAGAACAATGGTACAAGTTACAATCAATATTAACTGCATGGTCTGTTAGTGTTAGTCACGCAGTCCTGTCTTACTCTTTGTGACCCCATGGACTGCAGCCCACCAGGCTCCTCTGTCTGTGGGATTTTCCAGGCAAGGATACTGGTGTGGGTTGCCATTTCCTTCTCCAGGGGATCTTCCAGACCCAGGGATCGAACCCAGGTCTTCTGCACTGCAGGCAGATTATTTACCCACTGAGCTATGAGGGAAGCCCACACACTACTATCAAGGAGTTTGATAAAATCTGAGGGAGAAGAGAAAGAAGAGAAGAAAAGTTGATGATGACATGGTTGTAGGAACAAAGGAAAAACACAGACTCTTCATTTGAAATGCCCCTCAGAAAGCAAAACATATTTCAAGTGACAAGCTTCCTCATAGAATCGCTGAGAAATATTGATATTTGAGCCCATATTGAACAGGCTTTGGTACCCTGGGGTCCTGTTAATGACTAGAATGAAATGATGCTTATTTTAAAGTCTTATGGGTTCTCTGAATAGTACAGATCTGTCTTTCAAAAACTACACATATTTGCATAGCACATGATTCGAAGCAGCCAGTATTACCTGATGTAATCATGGAAGCTTGGTTGTTTTTCATCTAGGCTGAAAGCTGGAATAACATAGTCCATTTATATTCTCTCTTTCTCCTTCTGCCCTTTTGTTATCCAATTCCTGAGAGAATAAATCCCAGTGTAGAAGGAGCCATGACAAGGGCATCCAGTGCTTAATAAAGATTATATTCTGTGTTCAGAAAACGCCTAGCATTAAAAAGAAGGTTAGAAAGGATTTCTTGCTGGCCGGCTGTGTTCCTTTAATCCCATTTTCTGTGGCCTTGAATAGGATTAGGGCACGGAGGGAGGGATAGGAGGAGGAATGGATAGAGGGGAAAGCAGGGCAACGAATGGTGTGTGATCAGACTTGCAGCATTAAGGACAGCAACGGCTCTGAGCTCATTCTGCTGAGCTGATTTGGCCCCATTTGGATCTGAGTTACTGGTCCCAGATGGAGTGATATCTGCTAGTGAGAATTAAACACAAGAGGCTTTTCATGTCCTGATAAGATCGCTCCCTGGCCAGTTCAGAACAAACCACTTAAAATATATGAGCCTTAGTTTTAAGTTCTGAGTGAGCAAAAGCTTGGATTTTCTTTTGAGGTGAAATAGATTGTATCTTAATGACTCTATAATAAGGCTCACTTTCTTGCTGGATTTGTTAAAACTGCTTTTGCAGTGAAATCTGAAAATATTTAAGAGTTGTGCTACGTGTCATGAAAATTTTCTCCCTGAAATAAGGTTTAACATTTACATTAGTTAAAGAGATTTTTTGGTGAGCCTGCCAAAAGTCTTAACAAGATATTCATTTATGAGAAGGTGTAAGAATGGAGGGATAAATCATACAAAAATAGAACAATGGTACAAGTTACAATCAATATTAACTGCATGGTCTGTTAGTGTTAGTCACGCAGTCCTGTCTTACTCTTTGTGACCCCATGGACTGCAGCCCACCAGGCTCCTCTGTCTGTGGGATTTTCCAGGCAAGGATACTGGTGTGGGTTGCCATTTCCTTCTCCAGGGGATCTTCCAGACCCAGGGATCGAACCCAGGTCTTCTGCACTGCAGGCAGATTATTTACCCACTGAGCTATGAGGGAAGCCCACACACTACTATCAAGGAGTTTGATAAAATCTGAGGGAGAAGAGAAAGAAGAGAAGAAAAGTTGATGATGACATGGTTGTAGGAACAAAGGAAAAACACAGACTCTTCATTTGAAATGCCCCTCAGAAAGCAAAACATATTTCAAGTGACAAGCTTCCTCATAGAATCGCTGAGAAATATTGATATTTGAGCCCATATTGAACAGGCTTTGGTACCCTGGGGTCCTGTTAATGACTAGAATGAAATGATGCTTATTTTAAAGTCTTATGGGTTCTCTGAATAGTACAGATCTGTCTTTCAAAAACTACACATATTTGCATAGCACATGATTCGAAGCAGCCAGTATTACCTGATGTAATCGTGGAAGCTTGGTTGTTTTTCATCTAGGCTGAAAGCTGGAATAACATAGTCCATTTATATTCTCTCTTTCTCCTTCTGCCCTTTTGTTATCCATTTCCTGAGAGGATAAATCCCAGTGTAGAAGGAGCCATGACAAGGGCATCCAGTGCTTAATAAAGATTATATGCTGTGTTCAGAAAACGCCTAGCATTAAAAAGAAGGTTAGAAAGGATTTCTTGCTGGCCGGCTGTGTTCCTTTAATCCCATTTTCTGTGGCCTTGAATAGGATTAGGGCACGGAGGGAGGGACAGGAGGAGGAATGGATAGAGGGGAAAGCAGGGCAACGAATGGTGTGTGCCAGTATTTTCCACAGAACTGTCTGTCAGCCTGCAGTGAGGAGACTTTCAAGCTGACGCAGGTGCATAAAACTTTCTAGTACAAGTTAAGCTACTCTGAGGGAAGAGGAGCTAAGTTTAGTTTCACTCCTGTTTTGTCCCAGGCACTTTATTGTGTTGAAAGAAAATCTTCCAAATCTCTACCCTTAAAACTTACACCTGGTTTTAGGGTTTCAAGCAACACTTTCTGTCTTTATCATAACATTGCTTATACTTTGGATAGCTAATGAGTGACTGCATGGAGTAGATGAAAATAACATTTCAAATGAGACATTCGTAGGTTTCAGTCCTGCCTCTGGCTTTTACCAAATGTGGTTTAGGTAGGTTCCTTAATTTTTCTGAGCCTCAGCTTTTTCTTTTGCAGAATGATAAATGGTTCTGGTATTGTCTATCTTGAAGGAATGCTGTGAGAATTCAGTGAAAAATACAGATGAACAGCTCAAAACCCTCACTTGTGGCAGACACAGCCAGCCTTCAACTTGTAGATGTTATGATTACTTTTTAGTTTCTTACTCATGAGATATTTATATATGAGATGGGGACTAAACTTTGATTCCCACCTGCTTTCCAGTTTTAAGGAAATTTATATGCAAGGAGAAGAAGGGGTCAGAACTTCAATTATATATTTATAAGTCGTCTTTGTAGGTTTATGAATACAACAATGAGAAACCAAAAAGAAAAATGAAGACAGGAATGAGTTACACTTAGTTTTTTCTTATTTTTCCAAGATAATTTAATTTGGCTTTTATTATTGTCATTAGGTTTTGCCTTTCAGTACTAATGTTCTTAGCTATTCATTCTTCTATCAAGAATTTTTCATATATTGAGTACTAACCCTTTGAGGGACAGCAGAATTTTTTTATCCCTTTCCCCCCAATACCTATCTTGAGAAACAGGAAAATACTGCCAGACTTGCCAAATTAGAAATCTCATTTGAGGTAAAAACACAAGGCAGCATTTGATGGCACATCAGACCATCTGAAGGTGAGGTTTGTTTTTCAAGAATCCATAGTTTGGAAGGTATGAAATATATCTCAGTGTTAAAGTGGCAGCATAAATGTTTTAATTAAGCCAGTGCCCGGGGTGGGTGTGGAATGTGTAATTAGACCCCATAGGGTATCAGTAATATCTACAGCTCTAGGGATGGTTTCTACCCCTGAGAGAATAGCTTTGCCGAGAGTTGGCTGTGGACTTGCCTACAGATGGCCGGTCACTGCAGAGGTTTCTTTTTCTCCCTGAGAATGTTTGGAAACGGAGAAGTCTTTTATTGAGTCCGTATCTCATTACGAAGTCCATCTCACTGTCAGTTGCTAAAGAAAATGAGAAAGGGAGAAAGAGCGAGGAGAGAGAGGGTTCGATTGGGCTCAGGCAGGGGTTGAAGCTTTGCACAGAGCCTGCATCTTACAGGGCCCCTCTCATAGCTCTTGAAGTCACATCCTCTCGGTGGTTGGAATTCCAGATAAATTGAGGAGCTGTGTCTCCATGGGAACAGCATGGAGGAAGCAAAATGGGGAATAAAGTTAATATTTATAGCCCAGGACTGTTGATTTTAAGTGCCATCTTTACCCATTATCTCAGGGTGCCCTGGGTAGGGAAGGTAAGGCTTATTCATAGGTGCCTTAGTTCCCAAATCGATTCTTTTCCATCCCTTTTCCAACCCATCCCTAAAATGTCAAGCCCAAATAGTGAGCATTAACTGTAATGTTTATTTGCATAACTTTCCTTGGACTGTGTTTGGTAAATGAAACACAGGCTTTGGTGTCAGGATGACCTGAGTTCAAATCTCAGCTCTGCCACTGACCTGTTTCTTCATCTTTAAAACAGGAATAAGGATACTTACCTTTTCCAGGTGGTGGGAGGATTCAAAATAATGCAATTTAAGTCCCTGATTCTGATGCAGGCAGTCAGCCCTTCACAAATGGTTGTTATTATTCATATTATTGACTCTCTGCTCACTTAAATGGTTCTTGTCATATTTTGATTTATTAAAATAGGGATAAGGAACAGAAGGGCAAATCATATTCTTTAGCAGAGTTCAAAGTTACCCAGGAGAGCTTACATCTAGAGTTGGAAGGGAACATTTTATAATTAAACATCTGGATTCTTTGTGCTTAAGAAGCTTAAATAATTACCTCTTTTCAAAGCCCTATTGTCTTGATGTATGTGTAAAAAATACTTGCCACACTACCTGTGACATCTGTATTTTACTGTTATTTCCAGGCTGTCAGAGGGGCCCATTTCATCAATACTGAGTGTCAACGACACAGAAGATACACATACTCACATACAAAAGCTTCTGGCAGCAAAACCTATTTGTTTTGTCATGGCAACCCTAGTCATTTCCAGCTGGAGAGTGAGTGATGATGTCATTCTCAAGAGAGGTGGGGCTGAGAACCCAGCCTGAGTTGCAAGGCTGCAGAGAATTATATTTCAGAGTCAAATGGTCATGATACGAAGACAAGCCTTCTGTATGAGGCACTTAGGTTTTATATAAATATAGACATACTGTCCCTGGCAAGGACAGTATTGGGCTGGAAAATGTGACTTGATGAGCAATATCTGCATATGATTTTAAGAGGATATATGAAGCTCTGAAGAATCTATACTGGTGTTTGGTGAAACTGTAAATGACTCCCCTGATCTAGTGGTCCCTTGAAGCCTTGGGGACAAAGTGAGACCTGGTCTGGTCAGAGACCCGCTGGCTAGATATGGGGACTGACGGTGCACGGGAGACAGACTACGTGTGGGAGGTTCTGACACCCAGACCTAGAAGGAAGGCTCCAACCATAAGACCTGTGCCCACAGACCCATGGAAGAGGAAAAATGGGAGCTGTCAGTATCTATCCCAGGACAGCCGGCTAAATGGGGCCCATTCCTCAGACCAGGATGCATGGTCACTGCACGTAAGTCATGGACATGATCCGGTTCCCTCACAGAGAGCAGCTCTGATGTTTTAGCTCTGGAAGTGTGCCATGCAGCAAAGGATGGCCAAGAGGGGGATACCAGTCACCTACATACAGGTCAAGAGAAAATACCAGGTGAGGGTCCAGATGTCATCTCAAATTAGCCCTGGCGAAGGCATCTCACACATGACATCAGCAAGTCTGAGTCTAAGAGTCACCTGGGGCACCCTCACCACAACACCAAATGAATCACAGTCTCCAGAAAAGAAATCTGGAAATGTGCGTTATAAAATCTTAGTGCCAAAAGAGGTTTCACAGGCATTTATTGCTGTTTTAACTTTTTATAAACTAGAATAGCAGATCTGTTGTAGCGTGAACCTTGCACAAGGCAGGCCTGAATTCACAGCCTGCCTCTTTTAGCTGCGTGATCCTGGGCAAGGTGTTGAGGCATCCTGAGCCTCATGGCTTTGTTGGGAGGGTGTGTACCATGTATAAAGTGGTTTGTGCTCTGTCTCCACATAGAAAGACTTCAACAGATAGAAGGCATTGTTACTGTTTGACTCGCTCGTGGTCAAAGTGCTGGGTTACAGCAGGGCTGTGAGTGGGATCCTTAAACTAGGTTACAATTGGTCATATCTTCTATGCTTATGGCAGGTAGAGATCATCCAAGGCTATGTACATATATTTAAACATTCTTTATTTGGTGTAATTTCATATTCTAGAAAAATTATAGAAACAGCAGAAAGAATTCCCATATACCCTTCATGGAGATTCTCCGGTTAACTTTTTACATTTGCTTCATCTTTGGATCTTTATGTGAACAGACACACACCCACATATAATAATACCTATATATATATATATACACACACACACATATATAATACCTATTATAGGTGTATGACATATATTTCCCCTCTGAGCTATTTGAGGTTTACAGCTATGCTCCTGTTACCCTTTAATATTGGTTTGGCCAAAAGGTTCATTCGGGTTTAAACCTGAATGAACCTTTCGGCCAGTGCAATACTTCAGTTTGTAATTTCTAACAAGAGTAGTCCCCAAGTTGGTGAGAGTACAGTCTGGAAATTAGCATTGATACTCATCACAGTTTATTTCTCAGACACTGCACCCATCCCCATTTATTTTGGCTGTTGTTCCAGTATTGTCTTCTCTAGACAAAGGAGCCAGTCAAAGAGTACATATTATATTTAATTTATATGGTTTTTCTCTCTAACTCCTTAGATCTGAAACTGTTTCTCTTTGCTTATCTTTCATGGACATAACATTTGGGAGAGGACTGGCCTGTTACTTTGTAAAGTGCTCTTTATTTTGGGATTGTCTGATGTTTCATCATCACTAAATTTAGAATATGCATTCTAGGCAGAAATATAAAAATGCTATGCTTTCTCAGTGTATCATATGAGGATATATATGTGGATCTGGCCCACGATTAAAACTAGTGTTAGTGTTTATCACTTCAGATGACATTTGACAGATTTCTCTACTTTAATGTTAAGTATTAACTTTTTAAATTAATAATAGGTATTTTGTGGAAAAATGCTTTAAGACTGTATACATATGCTGTTCCTCATCAAATTTCCACCCACTCTTTGTGGTATTCATTGATGATTGTTGCCTGAACCAGTTATTATAATTGCAAAATGGTGATTTTAAGATTCCATACTTCTGTATTTATTACCTGAAATTTGACTGTGAGTTAAAGTTTTTTCTTCTATTTTAAATCAGTATGGCCTCATCGGTTTCTCTTTTATTTAGTGGGTCACAAACTATGACTATCATTATTCTTTTCCTGCTCAAAGTGTCCTAGATTTGGTCAATGGAAGGCCTTTAAAACCCCTTCCTGTACATTTTTGACATGTTCCTGTAATTTTTAAGGCACTTGCCCAGTTTCTGGGACAGAAAATACCGAACTCATCTTGTACTTTTCCTGCTCTTGCCTTGCCAGCAGCCATTTCTCTGGTTACTTTTAGTAGAAGATAATATTTAGTAACAAAATATCCAGATACTAGATGTGGTCATTGCTAATAGATTGTCATTCCTTCTAGGTCCCCTCAATAGGCAGAGCTAAGAAATAAATGTATGCATATACATGTGTAGATGTAGAGAAATCTCTATCTTAGATACCATGCATTCACATCAGTGCTTCCAAATCTAATTCAACACAACTGGGTTTCCATATCTGTAACTATTCTGAGAATGAAGAACCATACTCCAATTATCTCTGAATGTATTTATTTGTCAATCTCTGTGTTTAATCAATGATAAATAAGACACAGCTTCCTTCCTCCCTGCCCCCGCCCCCACCCCGAAAGTTTACTGTTAAACTAAAGCAGTAATTCCCTTCACACACACAGCACAGTGATTTCAATGAACTCACTTTGGAGGTCACATCATCGATGGAGTAGTGACTGTGAGCTTGGGCCTTGGAAGCAGACCTGGGTTCTAGTCCAGACCGTGTACTTAGAAGCTGTGTGGTTTTTCACAGAATTACTTACCTCTCCAAGCCTTGGAGGATAATAGTACCAACCTCAAGAGGTTGTGAGGATGAAAGGAGTTAAAGGGGCTAATGCATAATAGCTGTTAACGCAGTGACCAGCACATAGTAAATACGCAATAAATGAGAGCTATTTTAATGATAATTGTATTTTCTACTTAATAGAGGAAATTTTCTCTAACTTTGAAATAGGCCAGTATACAAATTTGGAAAAACAATTATCAATAAGCCTCAAATTTCATTAAAACTTAGGGGTGAAACAAATCCTAACATTTTTTAACTTGTATATCCATATGAGAGAAAGAAACTATATTTAGCTCATAAAAGCGTGACTCTTCATAAATTTTTAGGTCTCCATTGAATGCAAAGGGAAGATTGTATTGTGTTAGATGTTATGTCATCTTTTTCTGATCTAGAGTAATCATCTACCTTGAGTTGAAATCAGTTGATAAGTTGCCTTTTAAAGACCTCCAGGGAATTCCTTGGAGGTCCAGTGGTTAGGACTTGGTGCTTTTACTGATGTGGGCCCAGGTTCAATCCCTGGTTCGGGAACTAAGATCCCACAAGCCATGTGGTGCAGCCAGAAAAAAGAAAAAAACAAAACCTTCATCAGCTGATAGATATGAGGAAATGACAAAAGATTTTGAGCATGGTCCATGCATTAAATAATACTAATGGGATCAGAATAGAAATGAAGATGATGAGAGTAGGAACATAAAGATAGAGGTAATATATTTCAAAGGAAGTGGTCAGCATTTAGCAAGAAATAGTGTACTTAAGATAGCAAATGAGAAATGAGTACATAAATACTTTTTGGTTTGCCCTATATTTTTTGTGTTTTCCCACTAATATGATGAAGGAATACAGGTACCAAAGGTAAATAATAGGCAAACTATAACCAGAAAAACTTCCTGGCAGAGCTGGGCATGGGAGTGGACCTTTTTTCAGTCTTGATGATCTGAGTGGGGATTAGACATGCATAATGTCACAACAGGCAAACTCAAGGAACCTGCTGACAACAGCTCAGAGTTAAGGTACCACTCTGTTGCTTTTCTTTCATGTTAGCCTGTGTGACCTTGAAATTGTGAGCTTCAAATTGAGGCGGCAACTGTGTCTGAACTTGCAATCTTCTGAGGCAAAGGGTGCTTCAGCTGTGGTGTGCAGTTGCAAGGGGCTGCAGCTAACAGGGTAGAAACAGTTTAAAAGTTGTGTGACAGGGAAATCTGGAGAATGGAAAATAAAAAATATCTGATGTTCAAAGCATGGATGACTGAAATGGCGGGGGAAAAAAAGGGGTTATAAAGGTAGAGTTGATTTGGGAGTTAATGATGCAGTTAACTATAGATGTGTTGAGTGTGCAGTGCTGGCAGGATGCCCAGTTGGCACCAGCTGACAGGCATATGGACCAAGAGAACAACTTTAGGAGGAGGGAAGGGCTGGAAATTAAACTTTGTAAATTGGGCTAGGAAATGATAATGTGTATTATTGCTATTCAAGTCAATTTCAGGGGAAGGGGTGATGACTAAGGGTAAAATCATATTGGATGGGGTGCTGAGATGAGAGGGAAGACTCGGTGAAGAGTACAGAGTTGGGGCTGGGGAGGATACTTGTGCGCTGACTTAACAACCAGTTCAGCATGAGTCTAGGATGCCCTTCTGTGGGGTTAAGACTGAAAACTACATTTCCCAGATTTCCTTGCAACCAGAGGGTCTGGATGTGATGCAGTTTCTGAGAATCAGGTGATTTGAGTGAGCCTGGGAAGATGTTGATAGCACTTCTGAGCTGCTTCTGCTGACAAGTAAGGTCATGGAATTGTTGGCTGCCTCTGCCCCTCCCAGCTGGCATTCAGCATTCAGGCACCAGCTTCCTGAGGGACAAGAGGCAAAGGCCTAGGAATTCATGCTTTGCTTGTGTGATTCTTGCAGAAAAGTTCACTTGTGGTGGCTTCCTGATCTTTGGATCTCAGTGAAGGCAATATGTTCCTGAAGTCAATGGCTCCAGGGGCAGCTTCCTGAATTCTCATCTTTCTGTGTGGGAGAAGTTGTAGCTCTCCTAGTGGGTCATTTCTGCTGTGATCTGAGTCATTCCTGAAGGCTCAGTCTACAGCATGCTCTTCAGTCCTTCCAACAATTCTGTGCTCAGTTGCTAAATCGTATCCGACCCTTTGCAACCCCATGGACTGTAGCCTGCCAGACTCCTCTGTCCATGGAATTTTCCAAGCAAGAATACTGGAGTGGGTTACCATTTTCTTCCCCATCCAACAATTTTAACGGTGTTTAAATCCTTCTCTGCTGAAAATACTGTATTGCTTTCTGTTGTCTGCAGCTGACCTCCAAATAATACAAATGCCAATGGAGGAAAGATACTCAAGGATAAAGGGCTAACCAGTAATTCAAAAGCTGCTGAAAAGTCCAGATGAGGATTTCATGAATGCATGCAAACATCCATCCATTATAACAATTATCATTATAAGTCCTTAATGGGTACCAGGGCCACACTGGACATTTGGAAATGCTGTACATAGATGAGAAATAGTCTTTCTCTTTAAGAATTCAGTCTTGTGGGGGACAGAATCATGAATATAAATGTAGTAGACTGTGGCTACTACAACAGTAGAGGCATATTCAGGGAGCTAACGTTAGAAAAGAGAAAGTGCACCTAATCTGCAGTGAGACTCAGGAAGGAAAGTCGGCTTCTTGAAGGAAGAAACCCAAACTGAATATTGAAGGATGAGTCTTTTTATTTAGTTAATAAATACCAAGCACTTATTGTGGGTTAAGCATGATGCTAAGACCCTTACATGCTAGACCTCATGGAATCCTCTGAACATTCATATGAAGTAGAGAATATTATTAGCAGAGGGAACAGCATGAGCAGGAAACACTGTTCCAGCCAACA